ATAATGAAGTTGACGTTGGGCTCTGTTATCAAAATGGGATTAGTGTCAAAGAGGAAGAGCCCAATTTTTTTGTTGATGACCAAAAATCTGCAGAGATAGAGGATGGAAACATTGAACCCAATGGGACCGAAAAGAATGAATATGAAGTCTTTGTTGAGTACCAGGAACCATGTAAGACTGGTCCCACTAATGAAACATACGAAGGGAATGACTTGGATGAGAGAAGCATTCTTGAATAGTACTACCAAGACAGTATAGGTACGATCAAAGAAAATTTAGATATAGTAACCTTGAGTAAAAATGACTGTGGAATATTAGTTGGTAGTAACAGAAACGATAAAGAAGTAAAACGTGACCTATCAAAAGGACTCTTGAAAAAAGAAGCCCTGCAACATGAATGCAGAAAATGGATGGAAAGGTTAGTAAGTTCTGGATAATCACATACTTTGTAGAAAGACCCACCAAAATTGAACCTACCAAAGGAATGCCTAAAGAGATTGATGCCGAAAAGGATAAATTACGTAGGTGGCATTCGACAAGTACTGTGAAAAAAAATCAGATGGACAATTTGATCCGGAAGGATATAACAAGCAGAATGGAAAAGGTCTTGATAAGGTTTGCGAGTTCTGGAGTAAAAGGGTTAATGAGTTCAAAAGTATGGGCAAAAATGACCAGATAGAAATAAGAATCCTATACCTGATTGTTTCTAAGGAGCCTCACAATTTGCCGATATGAGTCATATGCTTGATTCTTGTGATCATGATAGCATCAGTGTTGGTAAGAAAGAATGTATGATTACCTGAATCTTGATGAACTTAATAATGAAAAGACGGACGAAGATGAGAATGACAGAGAAACATTAGTTGATAATGAGAATTGAGACGAGGAAGCAAATGATGTTCTATCTGAAAGACCTTTAGAAAAAGAAGCCCTACATCAAAAATGTGAGGAATGGTTGAGAAAAGTTAGTGAATTCCGGATGACTACGTGTAAGAAAAAAGAGACGAACGAAATGAAACTTACCAAAGGAACGTTGAATCGGGTCTATGTTAAAGAGATGAATTTCGTGTACAATACGGAGCAAGTGCTGAAGATAGTAAATCACATGAATGATTTGATCCAGGAAGCAATTGTAGTCGAAATGGAAAAGGTTTAGGTGTAATGAATGTTGAATTAAAGGAAGATAAGTGAGTAATGTTAGTTGGCGACAATAGCAATGATGATAAAATAATAAAATGCCATTTAAAAAAGAATGAAAACAAACCTGAGAAATGGACGCCATCCAGAATTGGTTCGGTAAAAATTGCCGTAGTAACAATATCCGCACGAGATCTTGTCGATTTGGTCTTCGATCATGGAGGTTACCGAAGGATGGAGTTGAACTGGATTAGTATAGTGAAAAAAAAAAAAAAACTTTTATTAGTACTATGCGAATTACAATGAAGGTAGGTTAGTCATAGCAAAAAAATGTCCAGAATACGTCATCGACGATCGCTTCTGAACCTAATTGGATAGAACACATGATTTTCAAAAGATGTAACCAGATAATCTTATAACATAATTTTTACGTTAAGACGTTGAAAAAAACATAAGGTTTTTTGAAAAAGGTTTGAATTGAATACGTACGTACCAATCACGCATACATACCATATCATAGTATTTACTTAAAGGAGTATGGTCAGGAATGCAAAGAAACTTACCAGTATAAATTATTTGCGTGTATTAAGATTTTATAGTATACTTAACGAACAACAATGGTAAATTGTTATTTTAACTTTTTTAACACGTTCGCACAAAATTTCAATTAAAAAACTAATTTTATTACAGGATTTTGAGAATTAAGACATTAATTAAGTATAACTAAAATATATTCCTGACAATACTACTTTAAGTAAACAGAGATCATGTATTTCGATTTAATTTTTTGCTTTAACAAAACCTATTGAAGCCAAAAAGCTAATTTTCCTATGTTTAATTTATCCCAGGTTTTTTGCTGTGTTCTCGCATTAAGAACTTTGTTGCATGCAGTGATTTCAGCAATAATAGGCTTCTTAAGGGTTGTATATACTTCGTAAAGCCTATCATTTTCAATATTATTAGTTATAATCTTTACCAATGCCTCAAATGCTTTCATATCTTCTATTAATTCTACTTTTCTACTTTCAATATCTATATAATGCTCAGAGATAGATGTAATAGTATTATGACGACTTGATATTTCAAGTTCTGGCATGAATTCTGTTTCACTATTTTGTAGAACATTATTCCAAGGGTTATTGCTTGGATGAATTTTTGGGAAATTTTCTTCATTAAAGGTAATTAATGGATGATCGTGACGACGTGCCATGGCTTTAAATTGAGGAAAAAAATTTGGATTCTCTGTCATATATTTTTTTGTCAGATGCTTACATATAAGATAAGTACTATGTATAAATGTGGGACAAGAGCAAATCCAAGAACTCATATCAGTATGATATTTGTTCTCATCATTTATATCTTTTTCTACAGCAATCCTCCAGTCTTCTTTAAATGAATCCCAATATGAAGGGAATTCGCGATTGTAGAAATACCTTCGCTGAGCATTTTCAATATCAGGAATTAGGTTTTTTGTGATAATTTGTGTTAGGCGATCTAGGCGTGGCCTATTACAATTATATTTATAATTGTACTTAAGGCTACGCCAGTGGGACTCTACAATCATTGTGGTTCTGGCAATAGGCATTGCCTTTGAATAGGATGACCGTGCAAACAAACTCCAATTTTTTACATCATACCAGCTTGTCCACAAATAACCCCATAGCTTATCAAGGTTATTTTGTTGACAGAATTCATAG